TAGACCGTGCCTCTACACACTGGCGCCTCCTTAGACCGTGCCTCTGCACACCGGCACTTCCTTCGACCGTGTCTCTGCACACCGGCACTTCCTTAGACCGTGCCTCTGCACACCGGCACTTCCTTAGACCGTGCCTCTGCACACCGGCACTTCCTTCGACCGTGCCTCTGCACACCGGCACTTCCTTAGACCGTGCCTCTGCACACCGGCGCCTCCTTAGACCGTGTCTCTGCACACCGGCACTTCCTTAGACCGTGCCTCTGCACACCGGCACTTCCTTAGACCGTGCCTCTACACACCGGCGCCTCCTTAGACCGTGCCTCTGCACACCGGCACTTCCTTAGACCGTGCCTCTACACACCGGCGCCTCCTTAGACCGTGTCTCTGCACACCGGCACTTCCTTCGACCGTGTCTCTGCACACCGGCACTTCCTTAGACCGTGCCTCTGCACACCGGCGCCTCCTTCGACCGTGTCTCTGCACACCGGCGCCTCCATTGACCGTCTCCAAATCTCGCGTTGTCCTCGTACCAAATTGAACGATGATCTTTCTTTGTTCCAAGTCGATGCCGTGACAGTTTCTCTGAGCCTGTCCACAGACACATCACTCTAGTGAGAAATCCAATCACTGTTTCACGGTCTCATTTTCTCTCTCAGGCAGACGATAAGCCGGAGGTCCCACCGTCTCCGGTATCGAGCTCTTTCCAGACATTTCTCTTTCAGATCCTTGTTTTCTTTCATCAGTGACTGTACCTCTCCTTTGAGCTTGTTTACTTCTCCTTTATTTTCTCTGGCAGCCGTTTCATATGTTTGCATTTTCATTTCAATGTTGTCAAATTTAGCATTGAGCATGTCCAGTCTTTGGTCCATCCGATTTGACAAAGAGTTCATGGCTTCAAGGACAGATTCAATGCTAACCTGTTTGGATGCTAACCTGTTTGGATGCTAACCTGTTTGGATGCTAACCTGTTTGGATGCCGCTCTTCTTTCAGGCTTCTTGGGCTTACGACTGCAGACTGGATCATTTTCACTTTCTGTTGAATCCATCTCCATTAAACTCTTCTCCGACTTTTCTGCAATTGGCGCAGCGTACACGTGGTCCGAGATGCTACTTGTTAGCTTCAGGTTAGCCATTTCTTCAAATGTTAATTTTTCTTTTTTCTTCCATCCAGATAAAAACACACACAGAGTGGGCCCTTTTATCTGACCTTAAAAGTGTGTCCGGGCTCCTGTATCTTCAAAATTCAATTTGCGACTACTCACTCCGCCATCTTGATCTCCCCCATTATCATAGATCCATGCACAGATACGATTTTTCATATTTTCCAGCCTTCGCGGCCATTTTGAATCACTCCATGAAAGCCCAACTTTTGGCCCATATTTAGAACAGCAGAGATAGGTCTGACTACGTCTGTTTATATACAGTCTATGATTCTGACCTAATTTTTCATCGTTTTGAATAAAATGTTTAGTCTTTTATTCATTTTATGTTTTTACCGTGATTAAAGATATGTTTATACAAAGGAGTCATGTAGAAGAGAGACCAGAGAGACCTCTCTCTCTGGTCTCTCTTCGGTCTCTCTCTGGTCTCTCTCTCTGGCCTCTCTCTGGTCTCTCTCTCTGGTCTCTCTCTGGTCTCTCTCTCTGGTCTCTCTGTGGTCTCTCTCTGGTCTCTCTCTTTGGTCTCTCTCTCTGGTCTCTCTCCGGTCTCTCTCTGGTCTCTCTCTGGTCTCTCTCTGGTCTCTCTCCGGTCTCTCTCCGGTCTCTCTCCGGTCTCTCTCCCGGTCTCTCTCCGGTCTCTCTCCGGTCTCTCTCCGGTCTCTCTCCGGTCTCTCTCTGGTCTCTCTCTGGTCTCTCTCTGGTCTCTCTCTGGTCTCTCTCCGGTCTGGACCACAGACCTGTACATTCTCAGATCTGGATCAATAGATGTTCTGCCTGTGTTTGTGTAAATAAAACCAAAGCTTATTCATATTTATTGTTTAAGACTTTTATTAAACATTTTTCAAAAGCAAAAGTACAGAAGCAGAAGTATAAATACTGCAGAAATAAGATGTAATCGTTTACAAAAAAAATCACAAACTGAAGAAATGTATAAGTCTGAGTTTAAAGAGAAGTGTTAGAAAAACTGGTCCAACATTGTTCCCGCTGTAAACAGATGCTAACGATGCTAACAATGCTAACAGGGAGAGACCAGAGAGAGAGAGACCAGAGAGAGAGAGACCAGAGAGAGAGACCAGAGAGAGAGACCAGAGAGAGAGACCAGAGAGAGAGACCAGAGAGAGAGACCAGAGAGAGACCAGAGAGAGAGACCAGAGTGAGTCCAGAGAGAGAGACCAGAGAGAGACCAGAGAGAGACCAGAGAGAGACCAGAGAGAGAGACCAGAGAGAGACCAGAGAGAGAGACCAGAGAGAGACCAAAGAGAGAGACCAAAGAGAGACACCAGAGAGAGACACCAGAGAGAGACCAGAGAGAGACCAGAGAGAGACCAGAGAGAGACCAGAGAGAGAGACCAGAGAGAGACCAGAGAGAGACCAGAGAGAGACCAGAAGCCAATCTTTCATAACACATCTCTTCTGTTACTTTACATAATTTCACATCTTAAAACAGGAAGTTAATACAAATACACACCTTAAAAACACCTGAGGAGAGGAGCAAAGGTACCAAAGGTTTCTATAAAAAGAATGTGTCTTTAAAACCCTGTGAGACTTAAGCTACATGTGTTAAAGCTGAGGGACGTAACTTTCAGATCACAACCATAGAACTCTGGATTTAGGCCTCTGTCACATCTATGGATCAGAGGGAAGAGGGGAGGGGAGGAGAGAGGGGAGGGGAGGAGAGAGGGGAGGGGAGGAGAGAGGGGAGGGGAGGAGAGAGGAGAGGGGAGGGGCGGAGAGAGGAGAGAGAGAGGAGAGAGGAGAGGGGAGGAGAGAGATGAGGGGAGGAGAGAGGTGAGGGGAGGAGAGAGATGAGGGGAGGAGAGAGGAGAGGGGAGGAGAGAGGAGAGGGGAGGAGAGAGGAGAGGGGAGGGAGGAGAGAGGAGAGGGGAGGAGAGAGGAGAGGGGAGGGGCGGAGAGAGAGGAGAGAGAGAGGAGAGAGGAGAGGGGAGGAGAGAGATGAGGGGAGGAGAGAGGAGAGGGGAGGGGCGGAGAGAGGAGAGAGAGAGGAGAGGGGAGGAGAGAGGGGAGGGGAGGAGAGAGGAGAGGGGGAGGGGCGGAGAGAGGAGAGAGAGAGAGAGAGGAGGAGAGGGGAGGAGAGAGATGAGGGGAGGAGAGAGAGAGGGGAGGAGGAGGAGGGAGAGAGGAGAGGGGAGGGGCGGAGAGAGGAGAGAGAGAGGAGAGAGGAGAGGGGAGGAGAGAGGGGAGGGGAGGAGAGAGGAGAGAGAGAGGAGAGAGGAGAGGGGAGGAGAGAGATGAGGGGAGGAGAGAGATGAGGGGAGGAGAGAGGAGAGAGGGGAGGAGAGAGAGGAGAGGGGAGGAGAGAGGAGAGGGGAGAGAGAGGAGAGGGGAGGAGAGAGGAGAGGGGAGGAGAGAGGAGAGGGGAGGAGAGAGATGAGGGGAGGAGAGAGGTGAGGGGAGGAGAGAGGAGAGGGGAGGAGAGCAGAGAGAGGTGAGGGGAAGAGAGAGATGGGAGAGAGAGGAGAGAGAGGAGAGAGAGAAGAGAGAGGAGAGAGAGAAGAGAGAGGAGAGAGAGGAGAAAGGGGAAAGAGAATAGAGGTGAGGGGGGAGAGAGAGAGATCTGGTCTTTCTGGTAGACACCAGGTCTCTCTCTCTGGTCTCTCTCTCTGGTTTCTCTCTGGTCTCTCTCTCTGGTCTCTCTCTCTGGTCTCTCTCTCTCTGGTCTCTCTCTCTCTGGTCTCTCTCTCTGGTCTCTCTCTCTGGTCTCTCTCTCTGGTCTCTCTCTCTGATGTCTCTCTCTCTGATGTCTCTCTCTCTGATGTCTCTCTCTCTGATGTCTCTCTCTCTGGTCTCTCTTTCTGATGTCTCTCTCTCTGATGTCTCTCTCGCTCTCTAGTCAGGTTCAGCCAATCAGCTCTCAGCTGAAAGAGTCAAATAGTGGCTCACAGGGTTCTCCGACACTGAAGACATGTTTTTGAATGAGATGAAGACAAAGTTAGGTTCCTCAGCTTTGAGAAACGCTGAATCAACAACAATTAAACTGGTTCAGGATCTTTGAGAAGGAAACAAAACAAACAATGGAGTAATATTCAACAATGCATCGACAAAACACACATTAAAAACAGGTATGCGACCTGAATGGCATTAGCGCTGGAAAGCTAAAACGCAAGCTAAGCTAACGTATGATGCTAGCGAGCTGAGGTTTCTCTTCTACTCAGAGGGTTTTAGGTTTTACTGCAGAAGAAGGACCAAGGACAAGACGCTCCGGAACATTCCTGAGATATTTCATTGTTTGTCCTTAAAACACCAGAACTCCCAGAATCCTGAAACTACTGGACCGTCGTTTTTGGCTGCTTCCATTTAAATTCAATAGAACTCTGAAAAAATCTAAAAAAGTGAGTTATTTTCCACCAGTTGCATTAAAAGTGAGTAATTTTGCTGTAACTTGAAATACAGCAAAAACAGTTTGGTGAGAGGCTAATGCTAAAAGCTAACTGCTGCAAGTAAACATACATAGTGTGTTGCTATGGTAACTATTACTCACTGGACCAGGATCAGTCCAGAATCAGGACCAGTCCAAAACCATGACCAGTCCAGGACCAGTCCAAAACCAGAACCAGCTGAGAAGGGGCTTTTTCTGCCGTAGAATGTTAGTTTACCAAACGACCGGAAACGGCGAATATAAAATGACTCACATTTCAAAAATAGAAAACAACAAATTGGAACAGAAAAAGTCACACAGGTCTGAAGAAAACACTACTGCTCTGGGAGTGCTGAGGTTTAGAGCTGGTTTTGTTGCTTGATTTTCCAGTCCGCAGTTGGTAAGTCCTTCTAATCCACGAGTGACTTTGGGCTCGTACAAAAATACATCGATTTGAAGCTCGTCTATTTCCGCTGGCGTTTGGAAGCTCGGCGAGGGGTTGGTTTGGAGCTGGACCTCTTCCGTCTCGGCGTCCGCTCCGGACTTCCTTTCGCGTCGACTTCTTCTGTGGTCTGAGAAGCAGATCTCGACTGGGGACTGATGACGAGGGACGGGATGGACCTGCTCCTCAGGTTCTTCTCTGTGATGAAGACCAGTTCGTCTTCTGTGGCCTCCTGCTCCTCCTCCTCGTCCAAGCGGAGGCTCAGGACGATGCCTTGGGAGGACTCCTCATCGCTCCGAGCCTCTGCTGCTTCCTTCTCGCTCGTCTGGTCTTCTCGCACACTTATGCCAATGTCCTCTGATGCAAGAGATTCCGATTCCTGATCATTGTCGCAGTAGTCAACCTCAGGTCTTCGACGTGACGACCTTCTTGGCGTCTTCTTTACCGTCTGTTTCCTTCTTTTTGAAGGTGTGGCTGGTACCTCAACGTCTTCGTCTGAAACTGAAACCTGAGATGTTCCTTCAGGCATGTGATCTTCTGCTTCATTTGCCACAGCATGATCCTGATCCCCCTCCTCTGTGACATCCTGTTCCTCTTCAGCTGGTTCTTGTTGATCTGTATCTGTGCCTTGGTCTCCTTCGGAACAAGTGTCCTCCTCCAGCTTTTGAGCCTCTTCTACATCTTCAGGGACCTGCGATGTAGCCGAGATTGCAGTGGAATTTACAACCTGTACTTTATTCAAATCTACCAAGACAACTGTCACCCTGGGAAGCTCAAGTGGAAGCTCCGTCGTAATCCTTGTTTCAGGTTGGTCATCCTCTTCCACAGCCTCAGAGGAAGGCACAGCTGGTTCCTCTGAGGAGCCTAGTTTGTGTTCTGCTCCTTGTGTCTCTGGTTGGTCATTCTCGAGTATTGATTCCGTTTCAGGGAGTTCCTCTGGAGCAGGTTCCAGTTCTTCTGATGCCTCCTCTACAGCCTCAGCATTAGTACTTTCTCCAACAGCTGCTTCTTCCACTGTGGTGTCTGTCTTAATCTCTTCTTCCTCTTTGTTCAGAGAGTCTTCTTCCATCAGTGCAGGTTCTTGATCTTTGCTGACCTCCTCTGAACCTGTGTCCTTGGTTTCTGTGACCTCTGTAGATTCAGAATCTTTGACTGGTTCATCTTTGCTGCTTCCCTCGTCCACATCTTGAGCTAATGCCATCTCCACTTCTTCTACAGTTGTTTGCTCAGAGGTCTCTATCTGGACCTCTTCTGTGGCTTCATCTTCAGCTGAAGATGTTTGAATCTCTTGTGTTTTAGCTCTGCTTGCTCCTTTCCTTCCAGTTGACTTCCTTCCTCGTTTTGTCGTTGTTGTTGTTTCAACAATCTCAGTCTTCCGCTTACTACCTCTGGTTGTCCTTGGGGTTAGAACAGTGCTGGAGGATCTAGCTCCACTTCTCAGAGTTCTGGTTTCTACCACTTCTTCAGTTTCACCAGATGAAACCTCTGTAGTAATCCTTGTTTCAGAAGGAGCATCCTCTTCCACAGCCGCAGAGGAAGGATCTGCTGATTGTTCCTCTGAGGAGTCTTGTTCATGTTCTACTTCTTCTGGTGGTGTCTCTGGTTGGACTGTCTCTACTACTGGTGTTGCTTCAGTGACTTCTTCTGGAGAAGATTCTGGTTCAGGCTCTTTGTCTAGGTCTGCTTCTTCTACATTTGGTTCCTTCACAGTTTCAGGCTGAGACTCTTTGTCCATCTCCACAGTGACCTCAGTTTGTTCTGTGTCCACAGCTTCAGTGCTTTGAAGAACAGCTTCCTCAACAGCTGTAGGGGATGCCTCTTCTACAGCCTCAGCATTAGTACTTTCTCCAACTGCTGCTTCTTCCACTGTGGTGTCTGTCTTAATCTCTTCTTCCTCTTTGTTCAGAGAGTCTTCTTCCATCAGTGCAGGTTCTTGATCTTTGCTGACCTCCTCTGAACCTGTGTCCTTGGTTTCTGTCACCTCTGTAGATTCAGAATCTTTGACTGGTTCATCTTTGCTAGTTCGCTCGTCCACATCTCGAGCTGGTAATGCCATCTCCACTTCTTCTACAGTTGTTTTCTCAGAGGTCTCTATCTGGACCTCTTCTGTGGCTTCATCTTCAGCTGAAGATGTTTGAATCTCTTGTGCTTTAGCTCTGCTTGCTCCTTTCCTTCCAGTTGACTTCCTTCCTCGTTTTGCCGTTGTTGTGGTTTCAACAATCTCAGTCTTCAGCTTACTGCTTCTGGTGGTCCTTGGGGTTAGAACAGTGCTGGAGGTTCTGGCTCCACTTCTCAGAGTTCTGGTTTCTACTACTTCTTCAGTCTCAGCAAATGAAAGGTCTCCTTGCTCCGTTGGAGCCACAGATGGAGCTTCTTCTGTGACAACAGCTGAGTTAGGTGTCTCTTGTGGACATTCTTCTGGAGTCTTTTCATCATCCTTGGTTGGAGTAGGATCTGACTGAAGTTCTGTTGTGACCTTTAATTCAATCTGGGCTTCATCTTCTTCCACAGCCTCAGAGGAAGGCTCTGCTGCTTCTTTAGACTGTTCCTCTGTGGAGACTAGTACCTTTTCTAGTTCTTCTTCTTGTGTTTCTGGTTGGACTGTCTCTACCACTGGTGTTGCTTCAGTGACTTCTTCTGGAGAAGATTCTGGTTCAGGCTCTTTGTCTAGGTCTGCGTCTTCTACATTTGGCTCCTTCACAGGTTCAGGCTGAGACTCTTTGTCCATCTCCACAGGGACCTCAGTTTGTTCCGTGTCCACAGCTTCAGTGCTTTGAAGAACAGCTTCCTCAACAGCTGTAGATGATGCCTCCTCTACGGCCTCAGCATTAGTACTTTCTCCAACAGCTGCTTCTTCCACTGTGGTGTCTGTCTTAATCTCTTCTTCCTCTTTGTTCAGAGAGTCTTCTTGCATCAGTGCAGGTTCTTGATCTTTGCTGACCTCTGAACCTGTGTCCTTGGTTTCTGTGACCTCTGCAGATTCAGAATCTTTGACTGGTTTATCTTTGCTGCTTCCCTCGTCTTCATCTTGAGCTAATGCCATCTCCACTTCTTCTACAGTTGTTTGCTCAGAGGTCTCTATCTGGACCTCTTCTGTGGCTTCATCTTCAGCTGAAGATGTTTGAATATCTTGTGTTTTAGCTCTGCTTGATCCTTTCCTTCCAGTTGACTTCCTTCCTCGTTTTGTCGTTGTTTCAACAATCTCAGTCTTCCGCTTACTACCTCTGGTGGTCCTTGGGGTTAGAACAGTGCTGAAGGATCTAGCTCCACTTCTCAGAGTTCTGGTTTTTACCACTTCTTCAGTTTCACACGATGAAACCTCTGTAGTAATCCTTGTTTCAGAAGGAGCATCCTCTTCCACAGCCGCAGAGGAAGGATCTGCTGATTGTTCCTCTGAGGAGTCTTGTTCATGTTCTACTTCTTCTGGTGGTGTCTCTGGTTGGACTGTCTCTACTACTGGTGTTGCTTCGGTGACTTCTTCTGGAGAAGATTCTGGTTCAGGCTCTTTGTCTAGGTCTGCTTCTTCTACATTTGGTTCCTTCACAGTTTCAGGCTGAGACTCTTTGTCCATCTCCACAGTGACCTCAGTTTGTTCTGTGTCCACAGCTTCAGTGCTTTGAAGAACAGCTTCCTCAACAGCTGTAGATGATGCCTCTTCTACAGCCTCAGCATTAGTACTTTCTCCAACTGCTGCTTCTTCCACTGTGGTGTCTGTCTTAATCTCTTCTTCCTCTTTGTTCAGAGAGTCTTCTTCCATCAGTGCAGGTTCTTGATCTTTGCTGACCTCCTCTGAACCTGTGTCCTTGGTTTTTGTCACCTCTGTAGATTCAGAATCTTTGACTGGTTCATCTTTGCTAGTTCCCTCGTCCACATCTCGAGCTGGTAATGCCTTCTCCACCACTTCTACAGTTGTTTTCTCAGAGGTCTCTATCTGGATCTCTTCTATGGCTTCATCTTCAGCTGAAGATGTTTGAATTTCTTGTGCTTTAGCTCTGCTTGCTCCTTTCCTTCCAGTTGACTTCCTTCCTCGTTTTGTTGTTGTTGTTTCAACAATCTCAGTCTTCAGCTTACTGCTTCTGGTGGTCCTTGGGGTTAGAACAGTGCTGGAGGTTCTGGCTCCACTTCTCAGAGTTCTGGTTTCTACCACTTCTTCAGTCTCACCAGATGAAAGGTTTTCTTGCTCCGTTGGAGCCACAGATGGAGCTTCTTCTGTGACAACAGCTGAGTCAGGTGTCTCTTGTGGACATTCTTCTGGAGTCTTTTCATCATCCTTGGTTGGAGTAGGATCTGACAGAAGTTCTGTTGTGACCTTTAATTCAATCTGGGCTTCATCTTCTTCCACAGCCTCAGAGGAAGGCTCTGCTGCTTCTTTAGACTGTTCCTCTGTGGAGACTAGTACCTTTTCTGGTTCTTCTTTTTGTGTTTCTGGTTGGACTGTCTCTACCACTGGTGTTGCTTCAGTGACTTCTTCTGGAGAAGATTCTGGTTCAGGCTCTTTGTCTAGGTCTGCTTCTTCTACAGTTGGTTCCTTCACAGGTTCAGGCTGAGACTCTTTGTCCATCTCCACAGGGGCCTCAGTTTGTTCTGTGTCCACAGCTTCAGTGCTTTGAAGAACAGCTTCCTCAACAGCTGTAGATGATGCCTCTTCTACAGCCTCAGCATTAGTACTCTCTACAACAACTGCTTCTTCCACTGTGGTGTCTGTCTTAATCTCTTCTTCCTCTTTTTTCAGAGAGTCTTTTCCCACCAGTGCAGGTTCTTGATCTTTGCTGACCTCCTCTGAACCTGTGTCTTTGGTTTCTGTGACCTCTGTAGATTCAGAATCTTTGACTGGTTCATCTTTGCTAGTTCCCTCGTCCACATCTTGAGCTGGTAATGCCTTCTCCACTTCTTCTACAGTTGTTTGCTCAGAGGTCTCTATCTGGACCTCTTCTGTGGCTTCATCTTCAGCTGAAGATGTTTGAATCTCTTGTGTTTTAGCTCTGCTTGATCCTTTCCTTCCAGTTGACTTCCTTCCTTGTTTTGATGTTGTTGTTTCAACAATCTCAGTCTTCAGCTTACTGCTTCTGGTTGTCCTTGGGGTTAGAACAGTGCTGGAGGTTCTGGCTCCACTTCTCAGAGTTCTGGTTTCTACCACTTCTTCAGTCTCACCAGATGAAAGGTTTTCTTGCTCCGTTGGAGCCACAGATGGAGCTTCTTCTGTGACAACAGCTGAGTCAGGTGTCTCTTGTGGGCATTCTTCTGGAGTCTTTTCATCATCCTTGGTTGGAGTAGGATCTGACTGAAGTTCTGTTGTGACCTTTAATCCAATCTGGGCTTCATCTTCTTCCACAGCCTCAGAGGAAGGCTCTGCTGCTTCTTTAGACTGTTCCTCTGTGGAGACTAGTACCTTTTCTGGTTCTTCTTCTTGTGTCTCTGGTTGGACTGTCTGATTAGAGGTGACAATTTTGCGGCCACTTCTTAAAGATCGGGTCTCTACTACTGGTGTTGTTTCAGTGACTTCTTCTGAAGCAGATTCTGTTTCAGGTTCTTTGTCTAGATCTGTTTCGTCTGGTTCCATCACAGTTTCAGGTTTGGACTCCTCCTCTCTCTCCTCTACAGCGAGACTACTTTCTACAACTGCTGCTTCTTCCACTGTGGTGTCTGTCTTAATCTCTTCTTCCTCTTTGTTCAGAGAGTCTTCTTCCATCAGTGCAGGTTCTTGATCTTTGCTGACCTCCTCTGAACCTGTGTCCTTGGTTTCTGTCACCTCTGCAGATTCAGAATCTTTGACTGGATCATCTTTGCTAGTTCCCTCGTCCTCATCTTGAACTGGTAATATCCTCTCCACTTCTTCTACAGTTGTTTGCTCAGAGGTCTCTATCTGGACCTCCTCGGTGGCTTCTGTTCTACAAACTTGTCTCCTTCCAGTTGACTTCCTTCCTCGTTTTATTGTGGTTATTTCAACAATCTCAATCGTCATCTTGCTACTCCTGGTGGCTCTGGGAGTTGGAGCAGCTTCTTGCACACTTGGTTCAATCGCTGCTTCAGGCTGGGACTCTACAGGTTCCGTGTCTTCTGCTTTGGCGGTTTCCACAACAGCTGGAGATGGTTCCCCGTCTCTTGTCTCTTCGGCCTCTTCACCTTCTACCTCTTCATCGTCTTCGTGCACAGTATCTTCTCCCAGTTCTGGTTCCTCAGCTCCGTCTTTGCTCTGTCTTTTTCTGACTCTTGTGGGTTTTGTTGTTGCTGAACTGTGTTGGCCTCTGAGCGGTCTTCTCTGGAGCTCCAATGTCTCGCTGACGTCGCAGGGAGGCTGAGGAATGTTGACCACGTTTCTACAGCTGCGTAAGGCTCTCTCTGGTTCTGTGCTGTGGCTTCTCTCTTCCGTGAGGGGTTCAGGAGACGGGAGAGAGTCCTCGACCTGAGCGGCCACGTTTTCCACCGTGATCAGAGTCTTGACCTCGGACTCCTCCTCGGACCGGAGCAAAGACGAAACTTCTTCAAACACGGCCTCGTCCTCCAGCTCAGTAAGAACTATGTCCGTCCCATTTTCAGTCTTCTCCTGGAGCAGATCCTGAAGAAGCACAAGGCCCTGATGAGGATTTCAAACAGCTTTCATATGTGCAAGAAGAATGGACCATAAAGTACCTCAGTCTGGTCTGTGTCCCGCATTATTCTCTTTAATGTCACCTCCTCGCGTATCCTGCGAAGAAAGATACACAATTACACACTGTGCTGCAGTGACTTGACATAGCTAAAAACCTATGTAGCTAGTTCCTTAGTTTTACATGTATGGGCAGAACACGCCCCCTAGTGTCTCTGATGGGGTTCAGTTCACTCCAGCAGACAGCGCAAGGAACCAGGAAGTACAAATAGCCAATCACACAAAGCGATCGAGACGGATGTAGACCAGGAGAGCTCATAATGTCGATTGTATTCAGGGATCTGCCCAGAGAGGCCTGCGCTGTGTGCAGGAGTCCAGAGAGAGGAGGAGTGAGAGAGGAGGGGGGAGAGAGGAGGGGGGAGAGGAGGAGAGTGGGGGAGAGAGGGGAGAGGAGACAAACCACCGCTGAACCGACACTGTATCAGACAAAGAGAACCAGGACCACGCTGGAGGATGTTGTTGAGGAAGTGGTTCTACTGCTGGGGTCACATGTGTTGTGTTGTTCCACTGCCCCCTACTGGGCGGGCGCTAGAACTACATTGTTTGCCGTCGTTGTGTAAACGCTGTGTCAAATACGGAGCCTGGTTGTTTTTGCTAATTCTGTGAAAACGGGGCCGTAGACTTTTTTTCTCGAAACAGGGGAATTGCCTTTCAACTCAAAAACAGTTCTGTGAATTTATCTCTGGGAGAAAACCTTTGGATCCAGCGTTGTGTTAATAATATATAGCTGTATTTGTGCATTTCTCCAAAAAATAATTTGCTGACGCGTCAAAAAAACCAATAGCAGTCGACGAATGTTACGAGTTGCGTTTCCACCGCAGGAGTTCCAGACAAAAGGAGGGAGAGGGACAGCTGCAGGAACCGTCCTCTCAGAGGCTGTGACCCACTGCAGAGTAAGACCCTTGGAGAGTTTCGATCGCCACAAAATCAATCATTATTTATTTTACGGTCGGAACTGCTCTGGTTTTTGAGTTTTTTAACAGTTCTGCTTCAGTTTTGTGTAACTTTTCACAACATTGTTTCTGAGAGCGATGAATCCCCTTCGAGGCAAAGCTGATATGTCTTTTCCTTTCACCGCGATGCCTCAAACCCGTCTGAATATCCGTCGTACATCTTGCTGTTGCTGTTTGCTGTTTCCAGTGGTGTGTGCTGGGTCAATGCTGATGAATGCCGGTGGTTTTGCTTCTTTCTGCTAGCGTCAGAGCCTGTGCTAGCTTTAGCCAATCAGCGCCGGGTTAACCTCAAGTCCCACCGGGGCCCAACGGAGTACCTAGCATGGAGGAGGGACTCCGATGGGCCCCGTAAAAGTTCCTGTAAATGGCACTGTGTCTCCTGCAGTGGAGACACAGACGGGGCTGGATCTGGAAAATAACCCCGAAGATCCTGCGGCGGAAACGCGGCTATTATCAACGCACGAGCTGTAGCTGTGGTAATAAAAGGTAACTATGGCGATGATGATAGGATGGACTGACTGATGGACTGACTGATGGACTGACTGATGGACTGACTGATGGACTGACTGATGGACTGACTGATGGACTGACTGACTGACTGATGGACTGACTGATGGACTGACTGATGGACTGACTGATGGACTGACTGACTGACTGATGGACTGACTGATGGACTGACTGATGGACTGATGGACTGACTGATGGACTGATGGACTGATGGACTGACTGATGGACTGATGGACTGACTGATGGACTGACTGATGGACTGATGGACTGACTGATGGACTGACTGATGTACTGATGGACTGACTGATGGACTGACTGATGGACTGACTGATGGACTGACTGAGTGACAGGTGAGATCTCCTCGGTGTCCTTGGGTCCAGAGCCTGAAAAACAACACACACATTCATTCTGCTGCAGTAAACAACACTGTGACACACAACACTGTGACACACAACACTGTGACACACAACACTGTGCCCACACAACACTGTGACACACAACACTGAGACACACAACACTGAGACACACAACACTGCGACACACAACATTGCGACACACAACATTGCGACACACAACACTGCAACACACAACACTGAGACACACAACACTGTGACACACAACATTGCGACACACAACACTGCAACACACAACACTATGACACACAACACTGTGCACACAACACTGTGACACACAACACTGTGACACACAACATTGCGACACACAACATTGCGACACACAACACTGCAACACACAACACTATGACACACAACACTGTGCACACAACACTGTGACACACAACACTGTGACACACAACACTGTGCCCACACAACACTGTGACACACAACACTGCGACACACAACATTGCGACACACAACATTGCGACACACAACACTGTGACACACAACACTGTTACACACAACACTGAGACACACAACACTGTGACACACAACATTGCGACACACAACATTGCGACACACAACACTGCAACACACAACACTATGACACACAACACTGTGCACACAACACTGTGACACACAACACTGTGACACACAACACTGTTACACACAACACTGAGACACACAACACTGAGACACACAACATTGCGACACACAACACTGCGACACACAACACTGTGACACACAACACTGTGCCCACACAACACTGTGACACACAACACTGCGACACACAACATTGCGACACACAACATTGCGACACACAACACTGTGACACACAACACTGTTACACACAACACTGAGACACACAACACTGTGACACACAACATTGCGACACACAACATTGCGACACACAACACTGCAACACACAACACTATGACACACAACACTGTGCACACAACACTGTGACACACAACACTGTTACACACAACACTGAGACACACAACACTGAGACACACAACATTGCGACACACAACACTGCGACACACAACACTGCGACACACAACACTGTTACACACAACACTGTGCACACAACACTGTTACACACCGTTAGTGACCGTGACCACCGCCTCCTCCTGCAGACACACACACACACACACACACAGAGACTGTTAAAGCTCAGGGACGTAACTTTCAATCCACAACAACAGATTTCTGGATCTGAAACGTCAAGTATTTATGGTCTCTCTCTGGTCTCTCTCTCTGGTCTCTCTGGTCTCTCTCTCTGGTCTCTCTCTCTCTGGTCTCTCTCTCTCTGGTCTCTCTCTCTGGTCTCTCTCTCTCTGGTCTCTCTCTCTCTCTGGTCTCTCTCTCTCTCTGGTCTCTCTCTCTCTGGTCTCTCTCTCTCTCTGGTCTCTCTCTCTCTCTGGTCTCTCTCTCTCTCTGGTCTCTCTCTCTCTGGTCTCTCTCTCTCTGGTCTCTCTCTCTCTCTCTGGTCTCTCTCTCTCTCTGGTCTCTCTCTCTGGTCTCTCTCTCTCTGGTCTCTCTCTCTCTGGTCTCTCTCTCTCTCTGGTCTCTCTCTCTCTGGTCTCTCTCTCTCTGGTCTCTCTCTCTCTGGTCTCTCTCTCTCTCTGGTCTCTCTCTCTCTCTCTGGTCTCTCTCTCTCTGGTCTCTCTCTCTCTGGTCTCTCTCTCTCTGGTCTCTCTCTCTGGTCTCTCTCTCTCTGGTCTCTCTCTCTCTGGTCTCTCTCTCTCTCTCTGGTCTCTCTCTCTCTGGTCTCTCTCTCTCTGGTCTCTCTCTGGTCTCTCTCTCTCTCTCTCAGCCAATAGAGTCAAACAGTGACTAACTGGTATTTTTCTCACACAAAAGACCATGAAGACTCTTTCTACATTGTCATTTATGAGATTAAAGTACCATAGCTTTAAAAACACTCACCTGGTCCTTGTGAGAGTGATTGACAGATCCCCCTGAAACACAGAAAGACCATATGTGGTGTACTATGTGTAGCAGCTTTGGTTCAGGTCCTGAGGCGTGTAGAGACGGGTTTAATCGTTTGGCACAGAGCAGGGGAGAGACCTCTGCAGTCTCTCTCACAAAGACTGAACTACTCTATTGTTCTCAGTGGTGGGAGAAACCCGGAGCACCCAGAGGAAATCCACACAGACACGGGGAGAACATGCAAACTCCACATAGAGAGAATCCCATAGAGTCTCATGGTACAGTCTGTTAGAGAGCTCAGGGACTGGATTATCTCTAGTCTCTGGTCTCGCTCTAGTCTCTGGTCTCGCTCTAGTCTCTGGTCTCCCTCTAGTTTCTGGTCTTCACTCTCTGGGCTCCCTCTTGTCTCTGGTCTCGCTCTAGTCTCTGGTCTCGCTCTAGTCTCTGGTCTCGCTCTAGTCTCTGGTCTCGCTGGCCTCCTGCTGGGACTCTGAGGAGCACAGGGACTGGCCTCCTGCTGGGACTCTGAGGAGCACAGGGACTGGCCTCCTGCTGGGACTCTGAGGAGCACAGGGACTGGCTCTGCTGGTGTGTACCTGTGAGACTCATGGTTTGGATCCTGGAGGCGACGGAGACTTGATGGTCCAGTCTGGAGCTGTCCACCTCCCACAGAAGATCTGAGTCTCCAGGAAAGAGCTGAAGGAACCTACGACACACTGCAGACAGAACATGGTCTCTCTCTCTGGTCTCGGAACTCTGGTCTCTCTCTGGTCTCTCTCTGGTCTCTCTCTGGTCTCTCTCTGGTCTCTCTCTGGTCTCTCTCTCGTCTCTCTCTGGTCTCTCTCTGGTCTCTCTCTCGTCTCTCTCTCGTCTCTCTCTCGTCTCTCTCTCTGGTATCTCTCTCTGGTCTCTATCTGATCTCTCACTCTTCTCTGGTCTCTTTCTCTGGTCTCTCTCTCTTCTCTGGTCTCTTTCTCTGGTCTCTCTCTCTCTCTCTCTGGTGTGTCTCTCTCTCTCTGGTCTCTCTCTATCTGTTCTCAACCAGCTGGACTCACCTCGGTACATGGTAGTGGTCAGTGGGTATCGCAGGCCCAGCTGGTCCTCTTTGAAGCTGTCCACATAGTCCTGGAGCATCATCAGACCCAGACCGTTGCCGCGGTGACTCTTCCTCACAAACAGAGAGTCCAGCACCGGCAGAGGAAAGGTGCGGCTGGAGAACACGCCACACGCACTGCCTACACATGGTACAACACCATCAAGAGACCAGAGAGACCAGAGAGAGACCAGAGAGAGAGACCAGAGAGAGAGACCAGAGAGAGAGACCAGAGAGAGACCAGAGAGAGACCAGGAGATAACAGAGAGAGAGACCAGAGAGAGAGACCAGAGAGAGACGAGAGAGAGACCAGAGAGAGAGACCAGAGAGAGAGAACAGAGAGAGAGACCAGAGAGAGAGACCAGAGAGAGACCAGAGAGAGACCAGAGAGAGAGACCAGAGAGAGACCAGAGAGAGAGACCAGAGAGAGAGAACAGAGAGAGAGACCAGAGAGAGAGACCAGAGAGAGAGAACAGAGAGAGAGACCAGAGAGAGACCAGAGAGAGACCAGAGAGAGAGACCAGAGAGAGACCAGAGAGAGAGACCAGAGAGAGAGAACAGAGAGAGAGACCAGAGAGAGAGACCAGAGAGAGAGAACAGAGAGAGAGACCAGAGAGAGACCAGAGAGAGACCAGAGATAGACTAGAGCAGGGGTCTCCAGCCTGCAGCTCGGGAGCTCCCAGTAGCTCACCAGCCCCTTTCAGGTAGCTCCCCAAAGGATTTAGAATTAGTCACATGATCTTGACTGATTCCCTTTGGAGTAATTACATGTCTGTTATAAGTATAAATAGTATACTAGTAGCTCTCTGCCTCTTCTGTGAAATGAAAGTATCTCTCCAATTGATAAAGGTTGGAGACCCCTGGACTACTGAGATCAAACATTATTAAGTAAGTATTAAGTACACATGTTTTATCACTGACACATCTGTTGGATTGACTGTAGCTGTAAAATATTCTTTCCCACTCTCTACTCCCGCTCTCTCCTGGTCTCTCTAGTCTCTCTGCTCTCTTCTCTCTCTCTCTAGTCCCTCTCTGGTCTCTCTGGTCTCTCTCTCTGGTCTCTCTCTGGTCTCTCTCTCTGGTCTCTCTCTCTGGTCTCTCTCTCTGGTCTCTCTGGTCTCTCTCTCTGGTCTCTCTCTCTGGTCTCTCTGGTCTCTCTCTCTGGTCTCTCTCTCTGGTCTCTCTCTCTGGTCTCTCTGGTCTCTCTCTCTGGTCTCTCTCTCTGGTCTCTCTCTCTGGTCTCTCTCTGGTCCCTCTGGTCTCTCTAGTCTTTCTGTTCTCTCATGGTACCTCTTGTCTCTCCTGGTCACTCTGGTCTCTCCTTTTCACTCTGGTCTCTCTCTGGTCTCTCTCTGGTCTCACTCTGGTCTCACTCTGGTCTCTCTCTGGTCTCACTCTGGTCTCACTCTGGTCTCTCTCTGCTCTCTCTCTGGTCTCTCTCTGCTCTCTCTCTGGTCTCACTCTGGTCTCACTCTGGTCTCTCTCTGCTCTCTCTCTGGTCTCTCTCTGCTCTCTCTCTGGTCTCTCTCTGGTCTCTCTCTGGTCTCTCTCTGCTCTCTCATGCTCTCTCCAGGTCCCCCTGGTCTCTCCTGGTCCGTGGTCTCTCCTGGTACCTGCTGGTCTGACAGAGTAGAAGCCCACAGCGTGTCCGTTGCTCCACAGGATCTTGGCGAAGGCGTCGTGAGCGTGGCAGAGGAACGGCAGCTCGTCAGGGTTTCTCTCCTGAACTCTGTACACCACACGGTTCAACACGTACAGAACCACCTGGTCCCAGAGAGTCTGCACCTGTGAGAGAGACACATGGTTCAACACGTACAGCACCACCTGGTCCCAGAGAGTCTGCACCTGTGAGAGAGACACATGGTTCAGCACGTACAGCACCACCTGGTCCCAGAGAGTCTGCACCTGAGAGAGAGACACATGGTTCAACACGTACAGCACCACCTGGTCCCAGAGAGTCTGCACCTGAGAGAGAGACACATGGTTCAACACGCACAGCACCACCTGGTCCCAGAGAGTCTGCACCTGAGAGAGAGACACATGGTTCAGCACATAACAGCACCACCTGGTCCCAGAGAGTCTGCACCTGAGAGAGAGACACATGGTTCAGCACGTACAGCACCACCTGGTCCCAGAGAGTCTGCACCTGTGAGAGAGACACATGGTTCAGCACGTACAGCACCACCTGGTCCCAGAGAGTCTGCACCTGAGAGAGAGACACATGGTTCAGCACGTACAGCACCACCTGGTCCCAGAGAGTCTGCACCTGTGAGAGAGACACATGGTTCAGCACGTACAGCACCACCTGGTCCCAGAGAGTCTGCACCTGAGAGAGAGACACATGGTTCAGCACGTACAGCACCACCTGGTCCCAGAGAGTCTGCACCTGAGAGAGAGACACATGGTTCAGCACGTACAGCACCACCTGGTCCCAGAGAGTCTGCACCTGAGAGAGAGACACATGGTTCAACACGCACAGCACCACCTGGTCCCAGAGAGTCTGCACCTGAGAGAGAGACACATGGTTCAGCACATACAGCACCACCTGGTCCCAGAGAGTCTGCACCTGAGAGAGAGACACATGGTTCAGCACGCACAGCACCACCTGGTCCCAGAGAGTCTGCACCTGAGAGAGAGACACATGGTTCAACACGCACAGCACCACCTGGTCCCAGAGAGTCTGCACCTGAGAGAGAGACACATGGTTCAGCACGTACAGAACCACCTGGTCCCAAAGAGTCTGCACCTGAGAGAGAGACACATGGTTCAACACGTACAGCACCACCTGGTCCCAGAGAGTCTGCACCTGTGAGAGAGACACATGGTTCAACACGTACAGCACCACCTGGTCCCAGAGAGTCTGCACTTGAGAGAGAGACACATGGTTCAGCACGTACAGCACCACCTGGTCCCAGAGAGTCTGCACCTGAGAGAGAGACACATGGTTCAACACGCACAGCACCACCTGGTCCCAGAGAGTCTGCACCTGAGAGAGAGACACATGGTTCAACACATACAGCACCACCTGGTCCCAGAGAGTCTGCACCTGAGAGAGAGACACATGGTTCAGCACGCACAGCACCACCTGGTCCCAGAGAGTCTGCACCTGAGAGAGAGACACATGGTTCAACACGCACAGCACCACCTGGTCCCAGAGAGTCTGCACCTGAGAGAGAGACACATGGTTCAGCACGTACAGAACCACCTGGTCCCAAAGAGTCTGCACCTGAGAGAGAGACACATGGTTCAACACGTACAGCACCACCTGGTCCCAGAGAGTCTGCACCTGTGAGAGAGACACATGGTTCAACACGTACAGCACCACCTGGTCCCAGAGAGTCTGCACTTGAGAGAGAGACACATGGTTCAGCACGTACAGCACCACCTGGTCCCAGAGAGTCTGCACCTGAGAGAGAGACACATGGTTCAACACGCACAGCACCACCTGGTCCCAGAGAGTCTGCACCTGAGAGAGAGACACATGGTTCAACACATACAGCACCACCTGGTCCCAGAGAGTCTGCACCTGAGAGAGAGACACATGGTTCAGCACGTACAGCACCACCTGGTCCCAGAGAGTCTGCACCTGTGAGAGAGACACATGGTTCAGCACGTACAGCACCACCTGGTCCCAGAGAGTCTGCACCTGAGAGAGAGACACATGGTTCAGCACGTACAGCACCACCTGGTCCCAGAGAGTCTGCACCTGTGAGAGAGACACATGGTTCAGCACGTACAGCACCACCTGGTCCCAGAGAGTCTGCACCTGAGAGAGAGACACATGGTTCAGCACGTACAGCACCACCTGGTCCCAGAGAGTCTGCACCTGAGAGAGAGACACATGGTTCAGCACGTACAGCACCACCTGGTCCCAGAGAGTCTGCACCTGAGAGAGAGACACATGGTTCAACACGCACAGCACCACCTGGTCCCAGAGAGTCTGCACCTGAGAGAGAGACACATGGTTCAGCACATACAGCACCACCTGGTCCCAGAGAGTCTGCACCTGAGAGAGAGACACATGGTTCAGCACGCACAGCACCACCTGGTCCCAGAGAGTCTGCACCTGAGAGAGAGACACATGGTTCAACACGCACAGCACCACCTGGTCCCAGAGAGTCTGCACCTGAGAGAGAGACACATGGTTCAGCACGTACAGAACCACCTGGTCCTAGAGAGTCTGCACCTGAAAGAGAGACACATGGTTCAACACGTACAGCACCACCTGGTCCCAGAGAGTCTGCACCTGAGAGAGAGACACATGGTTCAACACATACAGCACCACCTGGTCCCAGAGAGTCTGCACCTGAGAGTAGAGTAGAGCAGAGCAGAGCAGAGCAGAGCAGAGCAGAGCAGAGCAGAGCAGAGTAGAGTAGAGTAGAGTAGAGTAGAGTAGAGTGGAGTGGAGTAGAGTAGAGTAGAGTAGAGTAGAGTAGAGTAGAGTAGAGTAGAGTAGAGTAGAGTAGAGTAGAGTAGAGTAGAGTAGAGCAGAGCAGAGCAGAGCAGAGCAGAGCAGGGTAGAGTAGAGCAGAGCAGAGCAGAGCAGAGTAGAGTAGAGTAGAGTAGAGTAGAATAGAGTAGAGTAGAGTAGAGTAGAGTAGAGTAGAGTAGGGTAGAGTACCTGCAGGAGTCCGTCTCTCCCCTCGCTCCTCAGCACCTCCCCCACCTCCCACCATCGCTGCCTGAGGTGCAGAGCGACAGGAGTGAAGGGCTCAGAGGGAGAGAACAGAGCCAGGACCTTCAGCGACTCACGGGTCCCAAACAGAGGTACCAGGCCCACGGTCGCCACGGTGATGTCCACCTGCAGACCACATGGTATCACAGGGACCAGCAACATCAAGGAAACATCAGAGTGTAAGAGGAGGGAGGAGGGAGGAGAGAGTATAGAGTACAGAGGAGAGAGTATAGAGGACAGAGGACAGCCTACAGAGGAGAGAGTACAGAGGAGAGAGTACAGAGGATAGAGGAGAGAGTATAGAGGACAGAGGAGAGAGTATAGAGGACAGAGGACAGCCTACAGAGGAGAGAGTACAGAGGATAGAGGAGAGAGTATAGAGTACAGGGACAGAGGAGAGAGTATAGAGGACAGAGGAGAGAGTATAGAGGACAGAGGATAGCTTACAGAGGAGAGAGTACAGAGGAGAGAGTAGAGGGAGAGAGGAGAGAGTACAGAGGAGAGAGGACAGAGGAGAGAGTAGAGAGGACAGAGGAGAGAGTACAGAGGAGAGAGGACAGAGGAGAGAGTACAGAGGAGAGAGGACAGAGGACAGAGGAGCGAGGACAGAGGAGAGAGTACAGAGGACAGAGGAGAGAGTAGAGGGACAGAGGAGAGAGTACAGAGGAGAGAGGACAGAGGAGAGAGTACAGAGGAGAGAGTACAGAGGAGCGAGGACAGAGGAGAGAGTACAGAGGAGAGAGGACAGAGGACAGAGGAGCGAGGACAGAGGAGAGAGTACAGAGGACAGAGGAGAGAGTAGAGGGACAGAGGAGAGAGTACAGAGGAGAGAGGACAGAGGAGAGAGTACAGAGGACAGAGGAGAGAGGACAGAGGAGAGAGTACAGAGGAGAGAGGACAGAGGAGAGAGTACAGAGGACAGAGGAGAGAGTACAGAGGAGAGAGGACAGAGGAGAGAGTACAGAGGACAGAGGAGAGAGGACAGAGGAGAGAGTACAGTGGAGAGAGGACAGAGGAGAGAGGAGAGAGGACAGAGGAGAGAGGAGAGAGTACAGAGTACAGAGGAGAGAGTAGAGGGACAGACCTGGGTCTGGTCTGGGAGGGTGAGTCTCTCTGGATTCTCTGGGTCACTGTAGAGCAGCGTCTTCATGCAGCTGTGAGCCTCCTGCTCCAGGTCTGAGAGAGACCCCAGGACATCTGAGGGGAACGCCATCTGAGAGAGAGACCAGAGAGAGAGAGAGAGTGACCAGAGAGACCATAGAGAGAGAGAGAGAGACCAGAGAGAGAGACCAGAGACCAGAGAGACCAGAGAGACCAGAGAGAGAGACACACACAGTGTTGGTCAGAGAAATAATAATCTCGCTTTTCTGGATTCTCAAAGTCTCTTCACATCATTATCCTCTCACTCCAAACACGGTGGTGATAAACTACTGTAGCCACAGCTGCCCTGGGGCACACTGACAGAAACGAGGCAACCAGTCTGTGCCATCAGCCCCTCCCACCACCACCACCACCCATTCACACACACACCAGACTCTTTAGGCAATGGGGGTGAAGTGTCTTGCCAAAGGACACAACCACAGTTTGGCACTTTACAGCCGCAGCCGCCCCCACTGTGGCTGCTGTTCCCAGAGGTTAAGTGTCTTGCCCAAGGGCACAACGACAGCAGACAGTGGGAGTCGATGGTGAAAGTTGGGCTCGAACCCACAACCTTCTGGCTCAAAGGCCAATGCTCTACACACTGAGCTACTGTCGCCCTGACGACAGAATCACTGTAATGCCGCTGTCCACAGTAGCGGTACGGCACGGCACGGTTATTTTGCATTTCCACCAGGGTCAGGCTTGGGATGGGGGGTACTTTTCATACCACCTCGACCGTGGTTCCAAGCAGGCAGAGATAATTGAGCGACAGGATACTACTTCAGGCAGTGGTATGTGAGCTCCGAGTGTCCGTGCACCATGACTCACTAATCTGAAACTCACTGATCCTCTCAATCCTCTGTCTCCACGTGTACCAGAGACCAGAGAGAGACCAGCGAGAGACCAGAGAGAGACCAGAGAGAGAGACCAGAGAGAGACCAGGGAGAGACCAGAGAGAGAGACCAGAGAGAGACCAGAGAGAGAGACCAGAGAGAGACCAGGGAGAGACCAGAGAGAGACCAGAGAGAGACCAGAGAGAGAGACCAGAGAGAGAGACCAGAGAGAGAGACCAGAGAGAGACCAGAGAGAGACCAGAGAGAGACCAGAGAGACCAGAGAGGGACCAAAGAGAGACCAGAGAGAAGACCAGAGAGAGACCAGAGAGAGACCAGAGAGAGACCAGAGAGACCAGAGAGGGACCAGAGAGAGACCAGAGAGAAGACCAGAGAGAGACCAGAGAGAGACCAGAGAGAGACCAGGGAGAGACCAGGGAGAGACCAGAGAGAGACCAGAGAGAGACCAGGGAAAGACCAGAGAGAGACCAGGGAGAGACCAGAGAGAGACCAGGGAGAGACCAGAGAGAGACCAGGGAGAGACCAGAGAGGGACCAGAGAGAGACCAAAGAGCGACCAGAGAGAGACCAGAGAGAGACCAGGGAGAGACCAGAGAGATACCAGAGAGAGACCAGAGAGAGAAACCAGAGAGAGAGACCAGAGAGAGACCAGAGAGAGAGACCAGAGAGAGAGACCAGAGAGAGAGATTCACCACTCTTAATATCAATTTCTCTTTACTAAATTTAAATCTACTAATTAACAACACTTAACCCCAATAACTATACCATCAAAAAATCCACTACCTCCCCCCCAATCATACATAATCAACTCATCCACCCCCCTATTATTTCCATTCTTACTTTTCCATCTCTATATCTTTAATTTTTTTACCCAACCCCATCCCCTCTCTTTACATAACTTACCTTAACCACTCTCTCAAATAATATTCAATACAATTCCCTCTCTTCTTAATCCCCTTATAATAAATATAAAACCCATAACAAAAACAATAAAAATATCTCATAATATATCTATTTTCATAATAACAAAAAAACAAAAAAAAAAAAAAAAAAAAAAAAAAAAAAAAAAAAACCTAAAAAAAAATTCCCAATAATATAAATTATATTCATTAATACCCCATTACACACCACCCAAAACAACTAAATCCATAAAAACCAAAACAAAAATATATACTCAACAAAACAAAACAACAAAAAACAACAAAACAACACAACAACAAAAAACAAAGCAAAAAAAAAACAACAACAACACAAACAACACACAAAACACAACAAAACAAAACAACAAACACACAACAACAAAACAACAACAACAAAAAACCAACAACAACAACAAAACCAACACCAACCACACAACAAAACAACAAAACAAAAACAAAAACAACACACACAAAAACCCAAAACAAAAACCAAAAACAAAAACCACAAAACAACAAAAACACCACCACAACCAAAACAAAAAAACACCACACTAAATAACATTCACCCATCAATAAAAATTAAAATAAAACCATCCCCTAATACACAATATCTACCAATATCACCACAAACCAACAAACAAAACAAAACAAACTTAAATAAACACTAACACAAAAAATCTAAAAAAAAAACACCATTCAAATTAATAAAAAATACCACATCATTAAATTACAAAATTCAACTTCCAACAATTTTCATACACCTCCTTACTTTAAAATCCTTCTATTTCTTTTACCCACACATAATAATATACAATAATACCTTACTTTTTAAATAATAAACCACCCAAATCATAAAATAACCACAAACCCACCCCAAAAACTTAACCATTATTTACACCTATAATAAACTATATCCCCTCATCTAATTAACAAAAAAACCCACATCAATACATAAAATTACCAAAATAACTATATTCAACCTATCTAATTTAAACAATAATTAACTTACAATCCCCTATATATAACCATAGTCCCAATAACTACCTAAAATTAACTATCTAATAAACCTATAAATAAAATCCCTATCTAATTAAACCCCACTTAAATTCAACTCTCAAACAACTCCAAATCCCCTATAATTTAAACAACTACAAATAACAATAAATTAATTATTAATTTAATATAATTACCTACTATTCAAACTCTAAATAACCTCACTCACTCAACTATAATCCCTACTACATTATACCCCATAATTAACCTACTCCTAAAAATTAACCCATCTACATTACACATAATTCCATATTAACTATTAATTACCCTAATTAACCTATTACATTAACTATAATAAAATCACTAATTCACACCTATAAATTCACATAATTCAATACTAATTTAACATAATAATATCATTTCTACAACAAAACAAAAATATTAAAACCTAAAATAAACAAACATTAAATAATCAAAAAATCACAAACCCCCCTCCTAACATAACCTATAAAATTTTTACTCTCATAATTCCACTTATCTTCATTTAATAAATCATCCACACAATTTTTCATTATTTTCCACTAAACAATTTCATATACAACTAACCACTTTAATCAATCTTATCTAAATAATATCTAATATTTAACCATAAATTCTCAAACAAAATTATCTTATTCCACTTATCTAATTCTATTATTTAAAATTTAAATATCTCTTTCCTTAATACTCCTTATTTTTATTACCAATACAATATCTTTAATAATATATTTAAATTTTTCTCCAATCTTTAATTCTTTCCCTTTATTATATTTATTTTATTATTCTTATATTATCTATCTTTTTCCATATTTTAATAAATTATTTTTTCTCTCCTCTAATTATCCTCAACCATCAATAAAAATAAACAACCTATATAAACTTACTACAATAAATCATATACCCCACTATTCCCCCATTAAAATAAAAACAATCACTCCCATCCATCCTAAACTAATAATCCTTTCACCCTCTATTAAACTAAAAATCTTATCATCTTAACCCCTCCAACAATCTTTAAATTCCTTTTATCCCCATCCACTTATCAACTCTATCAAAATTTAAATTCCCTATATTCTACCTAAAACCTCCTCAAAACCCTCATTAACACTTATTTTCCTCTTACTACATATCCACCCCTTATCCACTTCCAATTATTCTACAACCTTATTCACCCTAACATTTCAACTTCTCTTTCTTATATATTTCAATTCTCCTTTCATTAATCATTTCAATTTCTCTTTTCATTAATCATATCATCTTTCTTTATTTCAATTTCAAACTTTTCTTTATTAATTATTTTCAATCTTTCTTTCATTACAATATTTCCAATCTTACTCCTTCCTTAATATTTTCAATAACCTTCCTCCTTTCTTTACATATTTAATTTCTCCTTCATTAATATTTTCACATCTTCTCATTTCCTTAATATTTCAATATTTCCTTTAATTAAATTTTCCAAACTTTTCTTTATTAATATTTCACATCTTCTTCTTTCATAATATTTCAATCTTCTCTTTCTTAATATTTCCATTCTTTCTTTCATTAAATTTCCATTCTTATTATTTCATTAAACACAAAATTCATTATTTCTTTCATTTCACCTATTTCAATTTCTCATTTCATTATAGGACCCGATTCTTCACCCATTTTATTATCAAAACTCAACAATATCCACCCCACCAAAACATAACAATATCTCATTAAAAAATTTATACCCTAACCCCATATCAATTTATATTCTCCAAACCTAATCTTACATTAGTTATTTAAATGTGGTGTTTTCATTGATTTTTATTTCTTTTATAATTCCTAATATATTTCTATCTCCCTTTATCAGATTTACAGTTCTTGATTATCAATATATTCTACACATAATCATATAAAAATAAATATAAACTTCATAATTAATTTAAAAATCAAAAAATCTACATATACAAAACCATTTAAATTCTATCCTAGTAACTATACATTATTATACCACATCAACACAATCAATTGAACAGCTAATCACTCAACATACAATTCCTCTAAAACCACCATAAAAAACCTATTATCCACACCCCCACCACCCAACACCCCCCCCACACCCCACAACCAAAACCCAACCCAACAATACCAAAACTCTCCCCCTTCATACACTTACCAACTCACTAACTCCCACAACACCACACACACACCACAAAAAAACCACACCACACAACCCACCAACACCACACACAACAACACACCACAAAACCCCCCAACAAACAACCCACACCCCACCACCCCCCACCAACACTCACACCCAAACACTCAAACACACACACCCACCCCAACACCACCAACCCAAACCCACCCACCCACACACCCCAAACCCCACCCACACCCACCCCAACCCCCACCAAACCCAACCCCCACAACAACAACCAACCACCATCACCCCCCCCCCCCCCCCCAACCCAACCCCACCAAAACCACCACCCCACACCCCCAAACAACCACCCAACCCACCCAAAACATCACCCAACACAAAACCAAACACTAACCAAAACAACAAACCACCAAACCAACCCCCCCCCCACCCCACCCACCCCCCACCCCACCAACCCACACACACACAAACCCAACCCAACCACCACCCACCCCACCCCACAAACACCCAACAACCCACCCCACCCCGCCCCCACACACCCACCCCCCCCACACCACCCAACCAACCACACACCAAACCCCCCACACAAAACCCACACCCACCCACCCCCACCCCCCCCCCACACACCCCCAAACAAAACACCACCCCCCCACCACCCCCCACACCCAAAACAACCAAACAATACACAAAAACAAAAACAAACTCAACAACACCATAAAACAAAAACACAAACAACTAAACCAACAAAATCAACAAAACACCCCACCACCACCAATAAACAAACCACCATAAAAAAAAACAACAAATCTTAAAACACACCTACACATAAACCTACAATAAACAAAACAACACACCAAAAACAAACAAAAAAAAAAACACCAAACAAAACACAACACCATCCAACACACCCCAAAAAAAACACACCAAAACCAACAAAACCTCAAAAAAACAAACCCCACACCACCCCCACAACCCCCCCCCCCCCCCCCCCCAACCCCAACCACCCCCCCACCAACACCCAAAAAATCCACCCCCCCCCCCCAAAACCCTCCCCCCACCCCCAACACAAATCCCACACCCCCACCCACCCACAACCAAAAAACTCCCACCACACCAACACCCCCACCCAAAAACACCAACCACAAAACACCAAACCCAAACCCCCCAACAACACCCCACCAAAATCCAAACCCCCCACCAAACCAACACCAAAACCCCCACATCCATAAAACCCCCCAACCCCCCCACAACCAACCCACTCAAAAAACAAATAAACAAACACCCCATAACCACCACCACCCTTACAAACAAACAACCAAAACAAAAACACAACAATAACCAACACATAACAAACAACCCCCAACACAACCATACCAACCAAACAAACACTACCACCACAAAAAACCACCACACCTAAAAACACAACCAACTAAACCACATAACAAATAACCCCAACCCACCCACATAACACCCCCCCCCAACCTCACAATACACAACAACCACAACCCCCAAACAAACAACCCCCAACCAACAAACCAACAAAAAAACAACCACTCAAACCCCACCCCCACACAAACAACCAACCCCCAAACCACCCCCCCCAAACACAACCCCACAACATATAAACAAAATAAAAACCCCCATATATCACACATCCAAAACAAACACCCAAAAACCCCCAACACAATCCAATACTCAAATAAAACCCTACAATAATAATATAATTCACCCTATAAAACAAAAACACCATAAATCTTAAAACCATAACAAAAACCACCACACACAACCACAAAACACAACAACCAAACCCACCACCCCCCACAATCACAAAACATACCTAATACAACACAAATTAACCCCAACACAAACAAACCAAACCACCAAACAAACATAAATACACCAACCCCCATCCTAAACACCCCACACACAAAACACCAACCACAACCCCCTACACCCCAAAACAAACACACAACACCCCACCACACCAAACCCCACACCCACCCAACCACACAACCACAAAAACAACACCCCACCCACCCCAAAAAACCACACACCACCCCCCCACCCCCCCACCCCCACCCCCCCCACCACCACCATATCCCCCAACAAAAAAAAAACAACAAAATAAAAAATCATCTCAACAACCAAAAAAAAAAACAAACATAAAACACCCCCAAACCCCAAAACCTAACCCAAACTAAACACACCACAAAAACCAAACCAAAACCACCAACAAACTAAAACATACCAACCAAAACTACAAATCATCTCTACCCCAACACATTAACACTCTCCAAAAAAACAAAACCCACACCCACACAATCACACTATTAATCTCATCTAACTTCTTAAAATCCCCCATTCCCCCCACATTAAAACACCTCTCTATCCATCTATCCTCTTTCATTAAATAATCACATTACAAAACTTACATTCTACATCAACCCTAAATAAATCTATATATATATATACAAAACCCCACAACACATACTATCCCAACAATACAACTCCCCCTAATAAAAACACTCTAACCCTCCCCCTCAAACACAACCACCCAACCACACAAACAAAACAACCAAACATAACTCAAACCCCACCCAACACCCAACCCCAACACAACACAACAAACAAACAAACCAAACCCTACACACCATAAAAAACAAAAAAACAACAAAACCACCATCAATAACAACCAAAAAAACCAAAAAACCCAACCCCCCAAACCCAAACACCCACACACCCCCAAACCACCAACCCACCAAACCAAAAAACCCAACCCCAAACAATACCCCCATAAAACACAAAATCAACAAAACCACAACCACACCAAACCAAACACCAACACCACACCAAACCCCCCCCCCACCCCCCAAACACCCCCACAATAAAACACCCCCAACAACAATAAACCCAAAAACCCACATACCCCCCCCCCAATAAATAAACAACAACTAACCATATACCTACCAAAAAACAAAACCAACAACAACCACACCAATCCCCCCAAACAAACACACAAACCCACAACACTACACAAAAACAACTCCAAACCACTAAAAACACCACCACTCTCCACAACCACACAAACACCAACAAAAAAAACTACTTAAAAACCTTATCTTATACTCCATAAACAAAACAACCTACAACCAAACAACAACAACACACAACAAACAAACAAAAAAAAACAAAACAAAACCACACAAAAACAATATCCACCAACCAAAAACAACATTTCATCAAATACACCAAAATCAACAAACCAAACCACAACACACAACACAACCACAACAACAAACACACAAAAAACCACAACAAACACAACCAACAACAACAAACCAACCAAAAACCACCACAAACACACAACACAACAAACCAACACAACTCACACAACCACAACAACAAAACAACACACAAAAACACACACACAACACACAACAACAAAACACAACACAACACAACATCCACTAACCCAAATCACAACACAAACACCCCCCCACACCCCCCAAACACACAAAAAACAACAAAAACCAAACAAAACACAAAATCAAACACCCCCCAACAACACAACCAACACCACCAAAACCCCACACCACCAAACCCACCAACAACCCCACCAAACCCCCACACACACAACAACCCACAAACACACCAACACACCCCCACCAAACACATCCACAAACCCACCAACAAACCAAAACCAAAAACAAAACAACACACCAACACAACCACAACCAACAACCCAAAAAAAACCCAAACCAAACAACAAACACACACCCCCCACCACACACACCAACCACACACCACAAACACACCCCCACCCAACAACACAACCACACACACACAACAACAAACCAAAAACACCAACAACAAAACCACCACAACAAAACCAACACCCACACCCCACAAACCAACCACCAACCCAACACCACCCAACCAACCCTAACCCCAAAACACACTCCCCAAAAACCTCCAAACACACCACTCACACATACACCACCCCTCTCCAACTTCAAAACCTCCATAATTAAATCCCAACCAATACAAAACTCCCTTAACATCAACCCCTCCTCAATATACAAACTTAACTAAACTCAAACCATTCATATCAACACAACCCTCCACATACAACACAAAAATACTAACACTAAACTCCACTCCAATAACACTCCCTCTAAACTTAAACCCTCTCTTCTACCACACTACCCACTAAACCTCAAACATCAACCACCACACCATCTCAAAAAACCATCTCAACTCTAAACTCTATCAACTTCTACACCATTCTCTAACTCTTCAACTTAAACTCCCTTAACACTAAATCCTCATAACTTCAACCCACCTCAAACACCACTCAAAACACTCTACTAAAACTCCTCTCACTCTAAACCCTCCCATAACTAAAACCTCCTCATAACTAAACCACTCTTCAAACTAAACCTCCTTACACAAACCACCTTAACATAACCACATCATCAACACCCCATAACTCACCACCACAATCACAAAACACACTCACCAACACCACCAAACCATCAAACAACAAAACCACACACCCAACCCACAACCAACAACAACACACCACACACACCAATCCCCAACACACCAACACAACCCACCAAACCACACACCCCACACACAACACCACACCAAAACCACAAAACCCAAAACCCACAACCACACCCACCAAGACCCAACCAAAAACACAACCCACCAACCCATACACAAAACCAATCCCCACTCAAAAAATACAACACAAACAAACAACCAACAAACCACACCCCCAAAAAACCAACCACCAATCCAACAACAAAACCAACAACACAACCCCCAATAAAAAACACACAACACCACAAAAACACACCACCAAACAAAAAAACACCTACACACACCACATCCAAAAACAAACCCACTACCATCCCAACCCAACCCCAACAAAACACCACACCACAACAACCTCCATCAACCAACACACAACCCACACCACACAACCCAAACCACCAA